GCCTTAGTTATCGCACGCTATCGCCTCAGGTCACACTGGCGTTCACTATCGAGATCTAGATCACGATGTGAAGAGGGGAGAAGACAAAGTCTAGGGTCTTGGAAGTATGCTGACCGAGGCCCAACGTCTGATCTGAGTCTGACGAATGCTTCAAGTCAACGAAGGAATTCATGACCAACATCCTTCACCCTTTCGTGGATGTGCAGGACGCTAATCGCACCCTTAGTCACAAGACTTCCACTCCAAAAAGCGAGGGAGAATTCTGGGGTTTAATTTCCAAGGTTACCCCGGCGGCCAGGTCATGTAGTTGGACGAGCGAGCTTGTTTTCCCTCAGCCCTTTGCAGTGCCACAAGCAAGACCACACTGGCTGCTTTTGCTAACTCAGCATGTACAGTACATTTCTCTCAGGTCCCGATATACTTGGGTGCGCAGACGAGGCCTACAGCCCAAAAGCCTGCGGGTATTGGTTCAGCAGAGAGCATGTTATCTTGGCTAAGGTATTGTAGCTCATGGCCACAACCATTGGCACTGGTGTCAAGGGAGCCTCCGAGGAGCGATAGGTGGCAAACATAAGATACCACCAATCAGCCCTCGAAGCTCTCATTCATGGCAGCGGCTGGGCTGGGCCTTGATGGATCAATTTCGAGCCCTCCTGAAGTGGTGGCGAGGCGAAAGCAAGCCCCAGTGATTTGGAGGCACACTCCTTCCATTCTGTTCGGAGGTCGGGCTCTCCACTCTCCGTACCGTTTCTCGAGTGAGGCTGTCATGTGGGTATGTGTTGGTAACGACCTGTTTCATGACTTGGTGAAATTGCCATAGCTCAAAGCAGGGCAATAATTCAGGTTGGCCCTATTACTGGCGGGTCTTGGATTTCTCCCAAGTTCACACCACGAAAAGTCGTGCTGCTGGCTGTGGCCATGGAATTGTCACGTCAGTGAGCAGGAGATTGACTGTTCATTCCTCTGAGCCCCGTCTCGAAAAAAACGGGATTGAGCGCTCACTGAACCTGCCCGTCTCTGAGCACGCCACGGACGAGGTGTGGCTCCTTATTTCCAGTATCTGAATGGTGGTGGTTTTTATCTTACCTTCATGTTCCTCCAGTGTCGTGTTCTAGGACACAGAACCTTGTGCGATATTTCGTGGTATTGTCATTCTTGTTTGTGAGGTTATGGACAGGGAACTTTAATGAAAGTGTGGAATTCTTCGAATAATGCCACCTTTCATCCTCGGGGGCTTGGCCGTTCAAGAGAGTCGCCGGATCTTAGGGACTTCTTACGAGATCCAGTGCCAGAAAACATGCCTTCCATCCAGGCCGTCAGCAATGCGGATACTGGCTTAGAAGTTTTGCTCAGTATAGCACGCATCGGGGTACGGAAAGAAGTCGGCAGAGCGGATAATGATCAGCATTCCAGGATTCGCAACTGTTCGGTGCCGGTATCTCACGACAAGAAGTAGTGCGAAACATGGGATCGAGGCGGGTTCTTGGCTGGAGAATACGTTCCTTCCGTCTGCCGGCGGCTGGTTGAGGCCTCAGCAGCCCGAAGTTCGTGATGTGGGGAAATGCTTAGCCCGAAAATCACCTTCCTCACTGACAAGCTGGGAGATCTTGTCTGCCAAATTTGCCATCATAGTCAGTCGGCGCTGCGTAAAGAGGCAGAGACGAGAGGCCTAAACGTGGAGCTTTAGGACGGTGTCCCCGCGATGTTGCCCTGCGGGCACACAGCTGGAGCTCAGAGTCTGCAGAGATGGCTCCAGGAGAACAAGAGCTGCCCATTTTGTCGACAAGAGCTCGTTCACAGCAAATGCGGGCATCGGGGTCAACCCCGGCATCTCTTCAGTCAAAACATAGTCTTTACGCCGAACTCGATACCAAATGGAGGTATCATAGCGGAATTGTGTTACGACTGCTACAAGGCTGCTCTCTGAGTTTCAGCTGACGTACGGTACCGAGCTTGCAAGCGCCGGTTCGAGCAAGCAAGAAGCAGGTACCTTGTGTCCAAAAGCCAGGCAGACGCCAATATCCTACTACATAGGAAAGTCAATTTTGAGAAGGTGATGGTAGAGGAGTTTTGGGAGAAAGCCATCATGAGTTAGCTGACCCGTAGGTAAAAGCGACTCAAAGCCTTGAAGGAAGGAAGGGAAGAATGCGCTGGTAAGAGAAGCGACAGCCGAAGGGAGTTCTGGTGGGCAGCGGACCAACGGAGGAGCTCCGATAGCCGTCCACGGTCCAGTGGCTGTTGGGCAAAACATGCGGTGAAAAGGGTCTCGGATGGCGCGTAATCGTGGCAATCGCGCTCCCCAGCAAAGACTGCTGCCGAGACGTATTCTCCCCAGCTTTTCTTTTCTTGGATCACATGTCGTTGCATGCTAGACATTTAGAACTGGTCGCAACCGGTCTGGTCGTCGTTGACACCAGGTCATTGCTGTCAAGACTCAATGGCGAATTTTGATACACAAAATTTCCAAGGACCAAAACCTGTTTGCGCTCGCTGTCGGCCGGAGATGGTGGGATTGTATAAGTAAGGCAGACGCCCGTATGAAGATATCCGTTCCGATGCTGACAGGTTGCGAAGCCTTTCGAGATCGATGAAGGGCTAGGGTGAGGATCCGGAGGTGTGTTTTAACAGTCGTCTTCGTCAGGCTCATGGATGTGGCATCCACAGCAGCGATCACGCGTTGGCAGCATGGGCGGAGAGGAACAAAGGTAGCAAGAGCAGGGCTACTGCATGAGCTTCGCAGCAACGGAACGCATCCGCGAGGCCGTCAGAATGCCAAGAGGTTGCGAATGCACAGACACCATCGATCCAGGGCACGTCTTATCCGACGTGTGCCAGGGCCCGCTGACCGAGGGTCCAGTCCTCGGAGCGAGGTACCGGCGGGGCGGAGAGGGAGGAGGAGAAGGGCGAGACCGTGGGCGAGAGGCTAGAGCCTACGCCTAGAAGTACGGAGAACGGTAGGAAAGGACGAATGGGGGCGAAAAAAACAAGTAAGAACCGGCATGCTGAATTCTGTAACCGAACTTAGTCAATGTGAAAAAGAAGGAATCTTTAGAATTCACTAGCCACAATTACGGAGTTTCCCGTATGGAGTATGCGTATGCCTGACGTGCCACAAGTTACGGCCGTGGACGATCCGAATGAGTGGAAATGACGTCTCGTTACGTAGCCGATTATGTCCGTTTGCCGTCAAAAGGATGGTGAAGATGGAGAGCCCTTGCTATGTTGCTGGGTTCGGGTCAAAAGCATTCGAGGGTGCGTGGAAGAAGAAAAGAACTGGAGAGGGTCGTGATGTGAGTGTTGTGATGGGCTGGTGATGTTCTGGGTGGCCGGAAGTTGGTACGATTCTGGAAATAACGAGTGGGTCCGGACGTAGTTTCGGACACTTTAGTCCTCGGTCGGACGATCCTTAGCGCCGACGTCGCCCCTCTCCTCCCCGGTCAAGGAACCTGGAAGCATCAAGCAAGCAAGCAGCACTGAGCAGGCAGCTGCCAGCCAGCACCCATTGTTTCCCAGGAATGTAACTCTGTGAGTGATCATAGGAAAGGTGGGGATGAGAGGGCGTGGGGTGGAGTACAGCCGAGTGACATATCCGTATGTTGTCGGCGAATACCAACGGAAGGTACGCCGTACACTGCAGAGTACGTGTATGCGTAGCAAGTAAGTAGATACAAGACTATGTCTTACGGTCCACGGAGTAGAGTACGGGTAGATTGTACGGATACGGGATACTCCACGCGGGTGCCTCCCCTTGGCACTTGGGTAAGGTACCTTGTTTCTTGCCTTTGCGGACTGCATGGAGGAAAGTATCTTTACCTGCCATTACCTTACCTAACCTAGTGCCTAGTGCGGCGTGCCTGCGGCCTGCCCTCGACATCAAGCCCGCTTGCTGTTGCTGTTGCTGTTGGTAAATCACATCTCGACTTTTACACAGTTGGTTCTTAGACCCCGGTACCCAGCTGAAGCTGTGGCGTGAGCGCCTCTGTCTCACCGTGTGCTTTATCCGCTTTCGTGACTAACCCAAAGTCGATCGCTCCATCTAGACCTGCAGAAAGACACCACGTTGGACCGGATGGATGGGGCAAGACTAAGGTAAGCAAGCACCTAATGGCCAAGTCTTGCCTGCCGGCTTGAACTCCGCTGAGCAAGTTCTAACGAATCACGTCTAACACAAAAGATGGACCCTGAGATACCGGAGGCCGCTCGTGGCAAGGTCTTGGCACCTTGCCATTTCCATCTCCATCATCCTCTCAACATTGTCTGATATGTTCAACATCCATGGTGACGGGCCTCAAACTAACGTAAACTAACAGTCTACTACTGCTACTTCGACAATCTGGCAGGTAGCATTTCTGCCCGCGCTAGATCCTGCTTGCCCTCGTTGGTCAAGTCAAAAACCCACCACATGTACCAAGGAGCTATTCTCGTCGCCATTTCCGGTCATCACCGTTGCATCGTGACACCAATCGACAAGCCTTGAATCCTCCAGTCGATCAGGCACAGCGGAATTTCATGATTACTGATGTCTGGGCGCAAAGAGGCATCTGTATCGCACTGTTATTCGTTGCCTCATGCCCACCTATCATCTCCTCGTCAATCGCCACCAATCTACTGACGACTTGCAATCCATAGAACAAGGACAGGCTCAATCAACTTTCGGGTCCGCATCTCTCGTGGTGTGCGTATGCCTAACATTACAGGGCAATGAAACCTACGCAATCGTCTTCTGGATGGCTCTGTTCCCCCGTCAAAGAGTCGCCATCTCCTCGAGACCCCCGACATCTGGCAGGTTGCTCAATGGCAACCCCGTAACGAATCTCGGATTTATCTTATGCTCTGAGTATCCACCCAAGCGGATGTCTTGCAGCAGCTAGAAGCTATCTTCGAACGGCGCCGTCAACGGAAGGGGAACCGTCACTTGAACCCAAGAACCGGGAAAACAGGGTGTTCAGGATATCACGGTTGACGATCTGTGGCTTGCCGCCAATGACACGCCTGGATTCTTCCCCATTCAAGCTTATCCTCTCAGGTGGCTGTTGAGCATTCCGGATCTGTCGTTCGTTCCCCGTTGAAAGTCAGACATCCCGCCCTGTCCTCCCAGGCAGTAGACTTCGCCCCCGGACCCGGCACACATGGGGGCGAAGGACGCTCCAGCCCGACTAGGAAAAGCAAACATGACATCCAGGGCCATTGCTGCCTTCGGCCACAGCAGCCACGATCAGCCTGAACCTGTATCCGTACCGTTGCACTGGGACCAGCATCGACCAAAAGTTCCAACTCCCAACACCGTGCCTCAAGTGACGATCCCAGTCTATCTTGGAGCCTTTTTCTTCGACGCACCGCGACAGCCGAAGAACAAGGCGCGCGTGTTTTTACGGAGTCATCGTGCACGGCTCAGGGGCAATGTCACTGGCCGAGAGCACGTAGGAATCGAGTCCATATTACCAAGACCCTCTGTTCTGATGGCTTTCTAGCGTCCAAACCCCCAATTTTCCGTCGAGCCTGTCGGTCAGGGTCCACCGACGGACGCGTACTTTTGGGGTCACGAGTGGCTTTCGGCATAAGGAGCTCGCTTACTCCGGCCGGCTTTGTCTCTCTCCCTCGGTAGTCTTGAGCCGCAAGAGCTCAGCTCACCAGAGAGCAAATGTCCAAGCTTCTATGGCTCACCAAACCCACAGATGGAATGTGTTGATCATCTTTGGTAGCCCAAATTCCTCTTGGCCTGAACACTTAAGCCTGGATTCTGCATGTACGTCGATTGGCTGCGCAGATACAAGCAAGATCTCACGACAGTCAAGTAAATCGGAGCTCCCGTTTGGTCAGCTGCGTTGCCTCCTCATTATGCCTAGTGGCTTGGGGTCCGGTCTGGCCTCTTCCTGGACGACACCCCTACCACCTCAGCAGGAGACCTCGCAATCCTTGCTCTTCCCCTCTGTCGGACCAGTCTCGGCCAGGGAAAGTCATCCTCCACTCGTCTTTCAAATGTTTTCAGGCCGTCTGTGATTTGCCGGCCCGTTGCGCTTTCTTTTACTGCAGTAACAAGTCAGGCCTAGAAGCCCTTGGTGCGGCCTCGCCAGCTAATACTCTTGTTCACATCCCCTCAAGTCTTTCCGATGAAACAGGCGTCAGCTAAGGCTCTAAAACCCCACAGTCTCTTGCACATGATAGATGCCCAACCTCCTAAGACATATGGGTTACCTTCCGTCGTATGCTCCTAGAAGAGAAATCCCAATTCCTGTTCCGCCATCCACGATCACCATCATTCCCTCGGAAAGCATAGTTCCCCATATTTCGAAAGTGCGTCGTCGTCGTCGTCTACCCGCACAGTAGCCAATGGAAGCGGTTAGTGACCTTTTGGTTCCAAAAGAGCTCGGCGTGGAGCTCCACAGGACAACATTCTTCCCCCCGCGGATGGACAACTTACCAACCCTTTCAACATAGGAAAAGGAGAGGAACCGCATCCGGGATAACCAGCGCCGTTCGAGGGCTCGGAAGAAAGAGTACGTTCAAGAGATTGAGCAACGTCTTCGGCAATGCCAACTTCAAGGGGTCGAGGCTTCTGCTGAAGTACAGCAGGCGGCTCGCCGAGTTGCAGATGAGAACCACAAGCTTCGACAACTACTTCAACATATAGGCTATGGCGACGAAGTCGTTGAACAGTACATTCACACCGGCAAACTCGGTTCTCCAAGTCATCGCGGCCTGCATATTGCGAGCTCGAGCGGCGACTTGGTTCCTGAGAAAGCGACAGAAACGTTGGAGGGTCTCTTGGTTCCACGGCGGCCACCATGCCTCGATATCCAGATGCCGATTCTACCAACAAGCAGAAACACAAGCCCGGACCGAACCCTGTCATACGGTCCTACGCCAGACTCGCCGGTCGAAGAATATGGTTCTCCATCGGAATCTGCCCATCAATTTCATGGTTCGGCGGTTGTTTCACCGACAGACTTTGGCTCCCAACAGGTCTACGCTCGCGCCGGCGACATGAAAAACCGAGATTACGCAGGCCATCACCACCGCCCACTTACGGTCGAGTGGGCAAATACCCACCAAAATCAGTCACCCCATGGTATTTCATCAAATGTTCAGGGATTCGGGGCGAATCAGGCGCTCGATTATCATCCGCCATTCCCGGGCATTAATCCTTCAGCAGGCATGCTACCCCCAACATGCGGCGGACCGCCATCCATGCCGTATACCTCGTACCCGACTTTTCATCCTCAGCCGCCGGCGTTCGTCGCGGCTGCTACTGGTCATATCGGACATGTTCCCGTTACTGAAGGGGATCCTGCTATTGAGGATCGCAAACCTCAGTATAGACACCCAGAAGACCATTCTTGGTCATCATCGGACCCCTTTACCAGATCGCAATACAATCCCCGACACAACTGAAGCGGCTTCGAGCATTGTTCTTTGAAGATCTCGATGCACATTTAGACCTTTCTAAACAAGGCTTTCAATCCTGCAGACGAACCCAACACCGACAATGGAGAATGGATGTTGTGAAGTCAACCACAAAGGCTGAGCCCCATTGGAAATCCAATGGAGTACTCGGCCGAACACATTGGCCGGGGCCCCTATTCTTGAATGGAGATCTCTAATAGCAACTTGCAGTGCCTTGGCACTCCTGTTTTGGAGCCGTACATTGACCTTGCCGTGTACACAATCAAGCACAGACGAGGTTGGTCAAAGGAAACCAGTCTTATTGTTCCCTACCCATGTCATCGAGGCTGGTGGGAAGGAATTGAAGCACAAAGGCAACGAAAGCTCGTGGCCTTTGGCAAGTGCTGAAAACGTTGCGTTCTCTATGGATACAGACCAAGGGTCTTTATCTCTGCTGCAGCGTTCTTTGTATGAAGCATGCGCATGGAGCAGCTGGATAGGGGGCATGCCGGCGGCCTGTTGAGCCAGCCGAGAAGGTCCAATGCTCCCAGCAAAGGGCTCACGGGTCACAAGATGGAGGAGTTAATAAGAGTTGTCTTTAATGAATCTAATGCCCACGGTTACCACTCAACTCTCTTGTTTTCATTTCCCCCCCAACAAAGTCAACTCTGTGTGTCTACTTGACGAAATCTTATCCACATCCTACCCCTTTTTACATTCTTACCAAAATCATAGATGATTTGAAGCTTCAATGTCGGAATACTACAGCCAAGAGAGGGTGGATATGGTGGCGATATTGGCTACATCACAGCGAATCGAGTTTGAAAGATGCCTTGCGGAAATCAAAGGACGCAATGGAGGTAACAGATCCGACACGATGGGAGTGCTCCAGCGTCTAGCTAGCGAAGCCGAAGTCGCCAGCAGCATTCTGTTAAGTCTTCAGGCAGAGAATATCGAGGGCTCATATGTCACCATACATCGTATGCTGGCACAGCAGACTCTGCTGATCAAGACGCAGCTTCTGGAGGTTGCGGGAGAGATGGGGAAACCGTTCCTACCGACGCCAATGTCTAATCCACGGTTGGCGCAACAATCAATGATCCAGCAGCAACAGCAACAGCCACAGCAGGAGGAGGAGGCGGATTGGGAACACCAAAAACCGCCGTCCCCTTTACCAAGACCTCCTAGGCAGCCGAAAGTAACACTACACTTCGATCAGTTCCCAATTTTTAGACGGCTTTCTAATACTACGCCGACGCTCGACGCGATGGACCGGTCCGAACCCCCTGAGAAGCAAAAGTCCCCGATCCGTGAGATCAAGGGGTTCCCTCCTCGGAACATCAGAAAACGGCGTCAAACTAACAATTCCTCGCCCTCACATCTTCTTCAAGTGCCAGCAGAAAGTGGGAAAAAAGACAATGAGCCAACTGGGCCAAGGAGGGCGAATCAAGGAGGGAGCGTCCGTCGTCGTGATCAGGCCAGTGTAAGTCCTTCTCCCCCGAGAAAAGCCACGCTGTGGCCCATCGCGAGTAACAAATTCTCGCTTCCAGCGCTGGTGAATATCTCTTTAGACGTGAACGAAGAGCGAGATCCCCTGAGAGGTCGGAAGCCGGGGGATGTGAGGGAAGCGGTATGCCTTCACAAACAGCTAGACGAGCAGAAAGAGAAAACCGAGGCGGCTAACGTGGACAAGTGGATAAATGATCTCGATTCTAGGACGGACAGTAAGGACGAGGGCGAGGCAAAGATGGAGGTGGAGATGGGAGATGGACGTAAGACAGGGGACCAAGGGGAAGGGGGGGAGACTCGCGGCAGGAAGAGGTCCGCAGACAAGGACTTATACCCATCGACTGTCAAAAAACCTCGCTCTGAGCCTCGGGGCGGGAAGAACGGTGGTAGTCCAGGGCGTATCAAAAGGTTTCTAAGCTCCCTTAACCCCTTTCGGAGAAGTCGGACTAAGTCCCAGGAAAGCAGAGATGCCGAACCGACCGCCGCTGTACCCAGCATACCAGACTCGCCGAAGCCAGTAGGGTGCTGCATCTTCGCGGAAGCTCTCAACCCAAGATACCTATTCGGCACCGAAAAAGAGGATCAGAGGGCCCTGCACTACCGCGACGCCATCGAGGACCTCATCCAACTCGTCGGAGACACACCGCACGCAATCACATCCGACGACCCACTCATGCGCGAGTACCATACAAGACAATTCAAAGACATACAGACCGTCCTCCGTAGAATCCCATCCAAGGCCATATCGAAAAAGATGATCGACGAAAAGCTCTTGGCGATCCGACAAGAGGAGACGGCGATTCAGAAGGGGCAAATCCCACATCTTAGGGGAATAAAGGCGAAGGAGGCCAGGGCGAAGCGTAGACAGCAGCTAATGCAGGAGAAAGAGGTTCTGCACCGTCGACTGCGGGCCTGCAATGAGCTGAATGACAAGATTTTTGCGTTTGGAGCGGAGGGGGCGGCGATATTTGCGGATTGGATCGTGGAGATGAAGTTGCGCGTCGACGGGGAGCTCGAGTTTGCGGAGAGGGCGCTGATGATGCCGTATTCTGGCGGGGTTCAGGAAGATGGCCGCGAGTTCTGTTGTGTTTGAAGAAGAAGAGTGAAAAGTTGAGTTTGTGGCCTATAAAGGGCTCGAGAAGAGGAGGAAGGTGTATATACCAGTGACGGTGTGCGTCAGGAAAGTTAGCTGAGGTAGATATTACAGAAGCGTTTGTTTTGGCCTGTGGAAGGAACATCAAGAGACAATGCATTACTCGCGCCAACTCCTCTTAACTCCATTGATCATCCACCGACCTTTATACATACACGATCAGGGGGAAACACGTAAATTTTGCCCAGTAACGCTAACCATTCCGTTTGTCTTTTTTCGCTGTTTTCATCTTTAAATGTCTTGTGCAGTTTTGAAACAATAAAAACGCTTTGGTATCGTCATTATACCGGGAATATCTCTCGCCTCCACTGGGAGAGAGTTGAGTCCATGACTAAACTACCTTAACCCTTACAAAAAGTAATCCGCCACGGGCTTCTTCGCAGGCATGCCCCTAGAATCCTGCGGTGCGGCCTGGAACACGCGGTACCGCCTCGCGGGCCCGGGGAGGAGCACCTGGTCATCGGTGCCCCGAATATTACCGTCGCTACGTCCCCGGTCGCCGTTGCTGCGCGCAAAGACACCCGTGCCCGAATCGTCCTCGGCCAGCTCGAGGATGGCCGCCACGTTGCCGCAGCGGTAGCAGTAGTTCGGCGCCGACCACACCGTCACGATGCTGGCGTCGAACATCTCCTTGAACCCTTCCATGACCAGCTGGTGGGCGCGCGCAATGAGCGACAGGTCGTTCTTGTGGTTGAAGTCGCGGACGATATCGGCGCCGAACAGGAAGCCCGCGCCGCGCGGCGACAGGCCCCAGCCGTCGATCTCGTCCGGGTCGGACCAGAGCAGATCGCACATGGCGCCCTCGTGAGGGACTTCCTGCTTTCTGTCCAACAGCCGGATCTTATCTACGCTGTCTATCAGCGGGGATAAGCCGCCGTGAACGCAGAGAATCGCTCCGGCGGGGTTGCCTATGGAACCTGACGCGCTTCCTGATGCGCCGCTGCCTGGTGGGCCTGTCTTGTCGCCGCCGGACGAAGGGGCGCCGTTGGGGCTATTCGTGGGTTGCCTTTGTGGTCTCCTCTGTCGGGGGAAGCGGCTCATTGTTGAGCCGTTCTGATCGCAGACCTCAATCTCAGTATCTTCGCTGATGGGGTCTTGTCCCGGGGTGGAGTTGAATGTGTGTGATGCGCCGAGAACGATGGCGCCGAGAGCGAGGTAGTCGAATACGTCGCAGCAGTACCGCCAGACGTTTGCGGAGCCGTATTTCCTGAGGCACTCGTCGTAGAAGCCGTATACGGTAGTGATCTGGCGGGATTCGTGGTTGCCCCTGATAAGGGTCATGCGGTCGGGGTAGCGGACTTTGAGGCAGAGAAGAAGGAGGAAGGACTCGAGGGAGTAGAAGCCGCGGTCTACAAAGTCACCTGTACGAAAGAAGCGTCAGCACATTCGAAAGGTGCCGTGGGCAAGTGAAAGAGCATGAGGGCATACCCATGAAGAGGTAGTTGGTATCGGGAACATCGCCGCCTACTCGAAAGAGCTCCATGAGGTCGTGGAACTGGCCGTGAATGTCGCCACATATCTGGCCCGGTGTCAGCGTCTGCTCGCCTGGATCCTACAGTCTGGAGACCTCATCGTACCGTGACGGGGGCTGTGACCGTGACAACATTTCCTTCCTCAATGAGTAGCTCGCGCGCCTTGTGGCATAGCTCTCGGACTTGCGCTTCGGGTATCGGTCGACAAGCGCGCAGCTGCGCGATAGCTCTGTGCTAAGCGTCAGCACCTTTTCGGTCATGGAAAGCAGCATGCGATCGCTGGTATGCTCACTTGTCAAGGTCGCTCATTGTGGAATTTGAGGAGGGGTTCCCTGGTCTGGGTTGCGGCGCCCGAGGCCGAGGACTAGCGATATCGAGAGAGAAAGAATGGCGGGGAGGTATTCGTTCTATTTTATAGCATGTCGTGTGGAGTATTCGATTCCGAGTCGGCGCGATCGACGGCAGCTACCTTATGTCGTCGTAAGAATACAGATTGAGCGCTCGCGTAGGGGCGATCAGGGCTTCGAGGATGGGATGGCGTCAGTAAGGTAAAGTTCAAAGAGGTGCATGGTTGCCCTCTAGCGGTCGCCGGTCGCCTACCAACCCCCAATTCGAACTTCCAATCGCGCCGGGATCTGCAAAAAGTGGATGTGTGGTCAATGCGTCGCTGTGGGTTCTCGCTGGAGTGCATCCCGGCCCGGGGACTTGTTCAGGGCTCCATCTCGGGGCTTTAGTTATTGCGGCGACCGAAGATTAGATCCTCAGGCTCGCAACCTGCAGTCGTCGCCTGGCATGTCACGTCGCCCAGGGTGGTCCCACTCCGGGCCGCCGGAATCCAATCAGAAGGTCTGCATATCAGTTCGGTTCATTAAGCTTCACTGCAGGTTTGCGAGAAAATCATCCGTTGGCCATCGTCATTGCGAACCTCAAGCCTTCATTTAGGGGACTACATTCTGACCCGTCACCCCGTCGCGCGAGCATGGTGCTGTCATAGGTGAGCAGCCTCAGTTGATTGAGTCATTTTGATGAATTTCAAAGTCGCTAACGTCCAATGGCACGCAGAAGTTCAAAGTCTCCTTTTTCCGAACACCCAAAAAAAAAACCGCGATCATGCCACCACACCCCCTCCACCCGAGGTCGCGCATGACCTCGTCACTCTTTGCAACCACGGTTGTCGCAAGTTTCTTCGTAGTCGGCATGCCACATCTATTACCGTGTCCGGCACCGAGAGTCACATACGCCGATGGAGAGGTTGTAGTGGGCGAGGACGGCCGCCGAAGGAGGCGCCGCCGTCGCGAGGCCGCCCCCGAAATCAACGACGGTCTCGTCAGCTTCAATCAAATGGGCGACGAGGAAACGATACGAGCACGAGAGGAGCGATTGAGAAGGGAGTGCCCAGTACCGAAACCTGGCGGCATCTTGGGCGAGTGGTTGGGATTCCACGGGCCGAGCAAAGCAGAAGATAGCAGAGCAGGAAGGTGACGACAGCAGATGAACATATGTACAAACAACTCAAAGATACCATTTACGATCAATGAATTGCGGTCTCAGCGACATTGGATGTGCGATGACGATAGACGAAGCACCATGCGGGAGATGGTCAACATGACGAGCATGCTATCAGTCAGTGAGCAATTGCTCCGCCGAAGTGAAGAGGAGATGATGGGTTGAGGACATCCGCCTACTCCAAGGAAAAAAAAAAAAAAAAGAGTTCACCCCCCCGGTGCTGAATTGGGGGCTACATCTCTTGGTGCTCATGCTGGGATTCGAACTCGGGTACTCGCTAAGCCTGTCGTCGAGTAGGCTGGTTGGCGTTTTAATTATTGACCTTAGACCACTCCACCACCCAGCCAGTTTGACCTGACCCCCGACCTAGAGGGCGCCTGCTGGCTGGTGACAGGAATGGGATTGAGGGAGTCTAAGGTATATTGGCTTGCTCTTGTGGTGTATTCAGCAGAGTTGAGATGAATACACATACACGGGATGATTCACTGCAGGTAGCTGATGCGCCGCGAAGAGTTTGGGAACAAGGACCCGAATTAGGCAAGAAGGGCAATCAAACCCCCGTATCCTCCAGAATATCGCAGAATCTCGAGAGCCCTTGCTCAAGTCAGCAACCTTAGCCTTCTGATTGATGCCGCAGTTGTTGCCTCAAGCGGCGTGTTCAACAATATCTCAAGGGTTCGGTTGACAGTCCTGAATTCTCGAATCGAGGTTACAGCATTGCAACGTCGGCTGCCGCGCCTTTTTTGACGTCAATGGGCGCGAGTGAGCGACTGGTACGCCGCATATCCTCTCTCGGGCTGCGTCGAGATAGATGTTGGCAGAGGTCCTCAGATGCAGAGGTGCTTTGGACCGTACCCTGATAGCCAAATAACGATTCAACTTCAAGTCACGGAATCGACACGCAACCCATCGTACACGATATTCCATGGCCCAAGCAGTTCGCGATGTTCAGAGTTACGCACGCAATGATATGCCTTTAATTCCAATACTTGGGGGCTGTTGGTCGGGGCTTGCCAAGTCTAAATAAGCAGTCATCCTAAAAAACAAGGTTATTTTGGAATTGACTGCGCCTGAAACTTAGGTGCAGTTCGCCCTTGCAGAGTTGCATCCTCTTGATCCTTGCGAGCTTCGACCAAGAAAACGGCTGGGGACGGGCCCAGCGGGTCGCTCTTGGTGAGAACAGATGAGTGTCTTGGTCGAGGTTTTTCAATCTTCACAGCCCGAAAGCGGCTGACTGGAGCCCTTGAAAGTCTTCAAATTGCTATTTTCTCCGAGTCATCCTCGCTGAAGAAGATCAAGATCGCCGCTCGTCTTTCTCTCTCATGTGTCGTTTCCCAACGAAGTTCTCATACCCCTGAATCTGGTGTAAGAAGTGCCGTGAGCTTATTACGTATGATCTTCCGGGAAATTTTACACACAGGATTCGCCTGGCCTCAGCAGTGAATCCATTGCCTGTCTCCGTTGCCAGGGCATAAAGCAGCAAACCTCTACCATTTTTTCCACGGCTTTCTCGTGTTCCGTCCATGGCCGGGCGATCGTGGGGGATGAGACGTCGGAAGAGACTCAGGCAAGTGATCCGTGCTGCTAGGCCACGCCCCTGCCTCCAGCCCGCAACCTTAACACCCGCTAACAATATCTGACGCAGGGAGCCCCTGATGAACGCCTTGGCGTCGAGGGACGCTGGCCAACTTTTTAGTCATTGTACCTTCCCGCAAAACACACGCCAACGACGCATATACCCTGACGAGGCTCACAGCCCCTCTTCGTGGTTAAGAATGACAAGGTTGTGTCTTCTTCAGGCTTGTCTGCGGGGCGGAGGTGTACCACATGGGCGGCTTGCGGTCTGATCTCCAAGGCGCCAAGAACGGCTCTGATCAGTCGAAACAGCCGGGAGGACGAATCATGAAGAACGCCTGGAGCATGGGGGATAGTTTAGCATCACGGTTTAGACTCTTAGAGTTGGGGTGACGGGTGCCATCTGTTTTTTTACCGGGGCACGAACTGAGACCGGATTCAGCACACCCATCGTACGCCAGTCTTTTGAGGGTGGAGACCTTGCATCCTGCTTCGCACCTTGAGGAGGCAACTTGCAAGACGCCACCAGCCTGGCAGACCGTTGGCATGTTACGCAACCCGAAAAACCCGGATGGCATCTGTCTCATGAGCCCTGGCAGATGCCATCTGATCAGCAGAGGCTCTGGACTGGGGGGAGGGGAGGCGCCAGCTCACTACCGGGCCTAGTCCACACGACGACTTATGCTTAATGACAGTCCGGGAAGATGCGAAGTTAAATAGACTTCATTTCCCCGAACCAGAGTATGTTTTGTTCTTCATCCCTTCTCTCAGGACAGTGTCTTCTTTCTACTTCAAACTTTTCAATTCTATTCTTCAAGAGCTGTGCTCTATTTCCATTCATTCTCAGCTTCTCTGTCATTCCTTGATACCCCAATTGTAAGTCGTCCTCCCAAAAGAAAGCTGGCTAGAGGCATAATTCTAACTAGGATCTCCAGTTTACACCGTTTTCGCTTCACGACAGTCATTCCAAAATGAAGTCCTCCATGATCCTTCTCATTGCTACCGGCCTGGTGTCGGGTCTGAGCATCCCCAAGCAGCTGGATACCCGCCAGGCCGTCGCCCAGGCCCCGGCCGCCGCTCCCGCAGCCGCTGTTCCTGTTGCGGCACCTGCTGCTGCTCCCGCCGCTCCCGCTGCTGAGGCTCCCGCCGCTGCACCCCCGGCTGCTGCACCTGCGGACGCCGCCGCCGAGGAAGCGAAGAAGAAGGCTGAAGAGGAAGCTGCCAAGAAGGCGGCCGAAGACGCTGCCAAGGCTGGTGAGGGCGCCGCCGCTGCTCCTCCGGCTGAGGCTGCCCCCCCTGCCGCCGCCCCTCCTGCTGAAGGTGCCGACGCCGCCGCTGAGGCTGCGAAGAAGAAGGCCGAGGAGGATGCCGCCAAGAAGGCTGCAGAGGACGCTGCGAAGAAGGCACAGGAGGATGCGGCCAAGCAGGCCGAGGACAAGCAGAAGGAGGCCGCTAAGGAAGCTGCTAAGCAGGCTGAGAAGGCGATGGGCGATTACCAGAAGGGCAACAACAACAACGACAACAAGGGCGATAATAACAAGGGCAACAATAACAACAACAACAATGGCAACAACCGCAACAACAACAAGAACAACAACAACAATAACAACAACAACAACAACAATGCCTTGTTGCTCCAGAACATCCAGCTCCTCCTCGCCGCCATGAACCTGCAAAACGTCGTCAACGTCCAGGCCCTCGCCCAGCTCCAGGCACAGCAGCAGCTTGTGATGCTCGCCCAGCTTCAGCAGCTCGCTCAGCTCAACGCCGTCGGCCTCGTCAACCAGGTCCAGGTCGTCGCTCTCATGCAGCAGGGTCTCGTCCTCGGTGGCGTCCAGCTCGGCGGCGTCCAGGTTGTCAAGATCCAGTGAACAATTCGTTCCAGAAGTTCTGGGGGAGGGAACATATGATCTACAGGTCGATGTAACTGCAAAAATGTAATTGATACAATTTCACCGGGCAAGGAGCATTCATCAACCAGTGTTGAGCACCGGGGACGCCACTGTGTTTGTTTAGATGTCTCATGCGTTGCGGAGTTGTAAGGGAACCCGTGCCGCGTGACCGATTTGGGCTTGATGTCCCTAGTGGACGATCTCGCTTGGAGGTTTAGGTGACACTTTGGTAGCACTACTTGATCTCCTCACTACCGAGGCGGAAAAGTGGAGTTAAGAATGGGTAGTCCACATGACATAGGAATGGGTTACGGTGCATTATTCAATGGCTCTGCATATCAGAATATCAGACTAGGATTCGGCAAGTGCTTTAATGTATTTTATGAAAAGTATTAATTATCCACCAGCCAAAACCTTTGAGTTTCACTGCCTTCCGTTGTGCCTGTCTCAGAACTTTGCTGATGTCGCGAGGGGTTCTTGTTTGGGGCGGGATATCCCTGTTCGAATGCCAAGTTTGTTGACAGCCGCTTGACTTAAGCTTATCCTCGATGACTTCTACTTCGATCAATCCAAATTACTTCTGTCTCAATACAGTGTTTGCCATATTGTATAATATTTGGTTGCATTCCATGCATTTCCATGTCTACGTTCAATCTAGCTACCTAAGCAGTAAAGGACTTGGGAAAAAAGTCCCCGTGAAGAAGTCAATGTGACGACCACACAAAGTGCGTTTGCCTCCTCACTCAGTTTCTGCATCATGTGTTGACAGCAATACGTGGTACCGAGATGCCCTCGTCAAACGCAAATCCAACCCTCCTCTTCCCGGAAGTGCAGAGCATCCGGATTGCGGGGAAAGGGACGTCAAAAGAAAAGAAGAGAGAATTCCAGGGGTAACATCCGCAGCCCTGTCCGTCAATGCCATGGAGGGAAGATGCCTCATCGACAAAAGACTGAGACACTTGGAGGAGTTCGGGGTCAGTGAGCCGAACAGGGGGGGATACCGACGAGACGAGGGTCGTGAGGTGGGCTGCATGACAACTTGACAGCAGGAAAAGGACGATGTTGCACTTTGCGCCCGGACCGCTTGTTAGTGACGCTAGAGGTTCTGACTTGCTGGAAGAGGAGAATTGCGGGGGCTGCACTGGCCAATGAAATCCTCTAAAGTACTCGCAGGGCCCATATAGAGGTCCGAGAGATGCTGATGAACCCCACTGACACGGGTTTAAACAGCCACTAAACCTTAGTTGAGCCGCTCCGACGTCAACGGTCTTCCTCCTCCCGTCTCTCTCGACTCTTTGCGTTGATTTGATACTAAAATGTGCCAATCACGACCACTCGTTCCAATACCAAGAACTAGAAGGGAACGATACCCTCATACCCTCAATCCGATGATTAATGTCACCCTGACCCAACGCATCGCCGGCGAGCCGGCTCGGCAGTCTCCCAAGGCAGAGCCGAAAAATCCTGACGCGAGTGCAACGAGCCCAACTTCATCCCGTCTTGACTGCCGTCAGAGACCCCAGCGGGCCCAGCCTTGGGATGACCCATCGGACCTCCCATCACCCGGCCAAGAATTCAAAGTCATCGCAGCTTGCGCAAGTCTTTTCAGATGACACACCTGTCATCGCAGCATCATCCCAACCCGCAAGTGTCTGTCTAACTGTCACCACCATCCCACCCTTGCTTTTCCGGTTTTTCTTCCGACTTCCCTCGCATTATCGCCGAACAACCCCAACACCACCCTCACAAAACCTGTGATCAAACCAAGCGCTTTTTACACCGCTGCTTCTCATCATCAGACCCTACGAAACAGATTTTGGCTCGGTCCTGCGTGTAGATCTCATGAGTCTATTCCAGTTTCCGTCCCTCCCCCTCCCCCTGCCTCCCTTCTCTCTTTCAGAATCCGCGGGAAGAAAACTCACTGGAAGGGCCATGTGCCGGCTTGGCGATGGCTGGGATGAAAATTTCCGTGTCACCATTTGCCGTCGGCCGAGTAGCCGCAGGACCCGCCAAGTAAGGTTATTTTGGCATTGCGTTGCGTTGCTTGGCCCACGGGAACCTCAATGATTTGGCCTTGATTCGTTTCTTCACCATAGACTTTGACTACTTCATCTCGTCATGGTCAGACTGCTTATGGCTACATGTTTTCGCCGAATCCAGCTCTCACAATGACAGTAGTCTCCAGAAATCATACATGGAGATGAAAGACTCACAAAGGGTACCTCAGCGGACGTGTATGATGATATCGCTTTCTCATGGTAGCCTATGGTTTTCTTTGATCCAGCTCTCAGCCATCCCAGCATAAGTTGCTAGATCGTGCCAAGGGTGGCATCGCTTCCGTCATCCGAAGAAACGTCCTCTCTTCCATGCCATACACGTCCCCTCGTGAGACCTAGTCTCAATGTGCCCCCCCTGGTCAACCCGTTTGATCCAACGTTATTCCGTACCAACAATATCGAGACTCTGACACGCCTCGGATCACTCGTTCACGACTCTTCCGAGCGCAAATCGTACCTTAATTCACCCTTGGCAATGGTCCGAACGCCTTATGCCTTGCTGAAGACTTCAGACGTCGACGTAGACTCCTTCTTGGCTCCGAATATCTTGGCTTCTGCTCTCGTCGACATATAAGCCACCGTCCCGCCGCGAGCATCAGACATTTTCTTCTTCATCCACTCGCATCCAAGCCTTCCATCCAGTCCGATCTCGCTCATTCCCTTCATTCATTCTCTTCAGAGGTGAGTCTTATATCAAGACCAGATGCAAAAGAACATACTAACCAACTACCAGCTGTGCTCGTTGTTCTCTTCACTCCTTTCAGGTCGTTTACACAAAACCAAAACCCACTCTTTACAGGAACAATCAAGAGCTGTGCTCTCTTCATACATAATACAATTTTAATCAACCCCCACATCCACCAACCAGCCAAAATGCGTTTCTCAACCATCATTCTCTCCACGCTCACCGCCTTCGCCGCCGCGGCACCCGTCGCCGACACCCTGGAACCCCGCCAGGGCAACGGTAACAACAACAACAACAACAACAAGAACAACATCGACCTCGCAAGCCTCAATAACCTCCAAGGCTTCCGCAACCTCGACCTAAACTACCTCCTCGCCCTCAACAACCTCAACCTCCAGGGGCTCGGCCAGCTGGGCCAGGTCAACAACCTCAACCTCGCCGCTTTCCAGAACCTCTTCGCCGCCCAAAACTTTGACCTCAACGCCTTGTTGCAGCTGCAGCAGCTCTCCACCGTGCTGGCGATTCAGCAGCAGGGCGTGTTTGGCAACGTCAACCTGGCGCAGCTGAACCTCGGCGGGCTGAACTTGGGGCTCATTGGCGGGGTTGGGCAGGTGAACCTGGGGCAGTTTATTGATCAGGGCTTGGTTGGGCAGATTAACCAGGTCGTTCAGCAGTCTTCTGGTACGTTTTACTACACTAAATTGGCTACACAAGTTCGGATACTAACTCAGGGTTCCCCTTTTCAGTCGTTGTCGTTGGCAAATAAGCACTCTACGTCTGTCCTCCAGGAATGGGCGATGTAATGTATTCATGAAATGGGACACGGATTGCGACATTTGGGATATGGTGTTTCAATCTGCTTTTCTTTCTCTTTTAATAACTGGCGCATGAACTTTCCTTGACTCTGCAAACTTGGGGAGGGGGGGGTGGAGACTAGTCGATACAGGTACTAGAATCAAGATGGCATGTATGGATATAGGTACCGTGACAAATTACGAATCCTCGTCCAAAACAATACTTCTTTGTGTACAACTTTCGGATAAGGCTGCGAGCTGAGTGATAGAGGCACGTCAAGTTTTATGAAGCTCCTTCGATCAATCTACTCCGAGTCTCTTGACTCGAGTCTACAGTCAACAGGTCGCGAGAGATATCGAGACATGGCGCAGTTGAGACACTTGTATTACACATTGAGTAACTGACAGAATAGGTTCGATCCTACCTTGGTCACTAGTACACGAGGTACTTGAATAAGTATTCAACTAAGGCTAGTGAGTGGCCAGAGCACGAGTCCTCACAAGTATGTCTCTGTTACATGGAACCCCAAAGTCCTCGGAAAGATCCAGCAGGTGCTCTCACACACCCGTCGACAACCTTCAGGGTCTTGCAGCCGTTTTTGAGCATCAAGTTCACGATCAATACAGCCAGGAAAGATCTCTACCAAGTTCCATATTACACTCATCATGAACGGCACGTGTCGTCCCCCCCCTTTATTGTTAGCTCTCCCGCCAGACGCACAGCTCTGCCCTGCATCTCGGACCAAAACGCGGGCAGCACCGCTACTTTCCCCTTTCTTCATTCTGTCCTGTCGTTGACTGACTGCTAAACCCGCCAGAAACGACTCCTTCCACTCAATGAATAGTATCAGAGCTTTCTGTAACCATCTAAAGCACAACACCAGTCGCAAGTAGCACGTAACGACGCGGTTGCAAGGTGAAGCTTCAATCAAGGTCATTCAAGGGGTCAGAGAGCCCTGCGATTCTGATCAAAGCTAAATATAGAATACCATGAGAGGTGTATTTAAGCAACCCCGTCCGTTGCTCGTGTCCGTCTAGCCAAGGTTTCTTCCAAAGCAGTCTGACATTATCCGTTTGCCATCTACAGTTGGAACACGGGTTCTTTATCAACTTAATATAACACCATATCGTCGAGAAGTACCGCACCGCCGTCAGAATTCCCCGTACCGATTCTCAACGAGCGTATTGGCCGACGACTTGGTCGGCACTGTCTTAACAATTAGATACTACTGTAGGCAAACCATTCTAGACACAAAAAAGCATATGCTGGCTATTCACTCTATCCAGGAAGTTGCTGCTCATCGACTAACATTGTACAACAATGGAAAAACCGTAGATATACAGCCTGTCTGTGAGGTTTAGATCCCAAGTTGAAACATATCCAAAGGACGAGAGGCAGGGATGTTAAACACACAGCCACAACAAAAGTCTATGATTTTCCACATTAATTCTGCCCTGTTGCTTGCGGGACTTTATTTCTATCAGTGTCGCCGGTAAGACGTCAACACCCAAGGAAGCATAAAGCTCCACCCATTGAGAAGCTACTATGACACTCTGCCAGTATCATTAACTCATTCCATCTTCGTCATCACGTAAAGTGCCTTGCACTCAACTTGACCACGATATCAGACATTGTACAAGGGAGGTATTGGAAGCTAACGCGTATTGTCTTTCCTCCCTTGAGGTCATCCATCCAATGTTGGCACAGGACTTGTGCCCGCTGCCGGCACCACTTGAACACCATCGCGATATCAACGGGCCAATTCTGTGGCATTGGCTCAAGATAACAAACCATGTATGTACTCAGCAAACCATCACCCCCCCCCCCCACCCCCAGGAGAAGTTTCTTCCGTCAGGCGAACAATCTACCTGATCGTGATCACGTTGCTATGATCATATTTCACGTATACGTTCATCACACCGAAAGAGCACGTGGTGACCTCCGTACACACATAGAAACACAAATCTTTACCGATACCCTATTGTTAAATCACTTTGCACATGATCTGATTTCGTACCACAATCCCACAAAGCACGCACATACACATCCTTGACAAATGAAACCACACACACGCACCCCATCCCCAGAATTTCGCAGCTCAAACCACTCGCATCTCCCTCTCCTCCCACAAGTGGAAACCTGCACGAAGGACTAAGGGAGAGACAGCGAGCCGGACCTGGCCGACCTGCATATGTGGAGAGAAACTGGAACCAAGGGGAAAAAACAAGAAGAAAAAGTACCCAGTACAGGAGAAAAATGCCCACCTAAACACGGGACCTCTTGGCGGGGAGTCCGAAGATCAACTCCCCCCCCCTCTCCCGGCCCCCTCCATTGACAATTCCCTTGCGACTGTCGATCTTCGGGGTATAAAAAGACATTTTTTGTGGAAACATACGAATTTTCTCAGGGAGAGAAAAAGGACGGGGAAAAAATAAAAGAACCAAAAACCCGTTGCCCCGCGTGCCCTGCTTAGGAGACCCGGACCGAAGGGAGTGTTGCGAGACAAGGCGGGTAATCCTCCGTAGGGGGGAGGGTTCCCGATACTCGGCGTTCTTGGAGACGGTTGCCTCCCCTCCCACCCGCCGGAATACGAAATGCATTGGCATCTTGGCAGGCCTTGTTGCGGAGACGAGCGTACGAAGTCCGAAAGAAACAGGAAAGAAAAAGAAAGCAATTTCTGGCTCAGAAGGGCTCAGGAGAGGTGCCTTCTTTCGAAACTGCTGATGCGATGTCGCCATTTGTGGCAGGTCTGCCAAGTTAGGGGGAGGGGTAACCAGGAGTCGTTCCTGTTGGATCAGAAACGAAATGTCGTGGGCGCATTTGTGAGGCTGACATCTTGCAACGGGATGGCGCAGCGCAGGTCTGAGATCCCCTAAGTGAAATTTGCTCGAATTGCAATTGTTGGATTAGGCTGTCAGCTTTGGGAGCTGAAAAGAAAAAAGCCTCGCTAGGTCAGACTTGCAGTAGGCATATGCACTCACTACATGTGCAGCTTGTCGAAGCCTACCAAGGAGCTCACACGACAAACGTGTGTTGTCCAATCTCCCAGGATTGTTTCCACCTTTCCCACTTGTCCTGCAAATTTTTGGCTTTGGCGTTGTGATAAAGTCAACTGAAGTGTGCTGCCGCACGCACGCGGGGGACACGCAGAGCCCGTGACCCGGCCCCGGGCCGGAATCCTCAGTTCGTGCCCGACCGGTCGGAATGGTCCGAGGCGGACGTGATTGGACTATCTCTCACAGTCACAGCGCGCACGAACGGGGCTGCAGGCAAGAGGCGGGGGAAAGCTCTAAATTGTCGGGAGAGGCACGCGTTGCATGGGGCTGAGGGGAACCATAACTTGCAGGTGATTATCGGGGTGCATGCATGAGACTTTGGATGCGGATCTTTGGGGAGTCGATCAGCTTCCTAGGTGCAGACAACTGATCTCGCACCGGTGCCTGCGGAAGTATTGCGTCCCTCGCGGACAGAGATTTCTTCGCTGGCTGCTCCAGAGTTTGATGACGAGTGGACGAAGGAAGACTTGGCAGACCTCGTCGAGGTTTGGTTGCGCGCTCGGACGACGTCCCGTGGGACAGCCGTTTGGCAGGCCATTTGGCATTGCCAGCGAGTTCGTCAGACGCTCTGATGGACATGGCCGCGCCTAATGACCCGCTAAGAGCTCCCTCGTGGCTGCGTGGCATCCCGCTTGCGCCGCTTGCGGCGACAAAGCCTCTGTCGGGCGTCTGTTGACCGAAGCCATCACACCTGTGTTAAGCCACTGGCTCAGGTTGGAGTGCTACGATGAAGGCACGAAGGTTGGGTTAAGGTCATATGCGGCGGTTCAGGGCACCTCCCGCGAATCCAGACCCAACCGCAACGATACCACCCATCCAAACGTCAGGTTAGTCGTGGGTTGTAAAGCCAAGTATGGGAAAAACTTGGTCAATTGGGGGAAGGTTCATGGGAACCGCTGATTCTGCTAGTACTCCATAGACGGCATACGCCGGCGAAATTAAGATCGACCCGAAGTTATGGGAGCTGGGAGTGAACGGCTACGGCATCGCCTTTTTCGACCCTTGGAAGATCTGGACCCTGGATACTTGATAACCCACCCGGAAACGAGCAGACGTCTGGTCGAGACTCTCAACTGCGAAGCGTTCGCGGCCAACGTCGCTGAATGCCAAGCTCCATCTGCCGATTCGCATCATAGTGGCGGAAATTTTCGAACAAAGAGAAGGAAGCTCCAAGATTCTCCGCACCGCAAAGCTGTAGCTCTCGTAGACGCAACCGAGCCACAGGCAAGAAGATGGGCCATTTTGGACCCTGAGCAATGGATTAGTGACGTGGGGAGGCAGGGAATCAATTGCCTCGCAGTGCAGGAGCTTCGGGATGAACAGAGCGTCCTATTCTGACACACGACAATCCGCAATACGGCCGTGGCCGACGGCCACGTCTACTGCCATGGCGACACGAATGCACTGACGGAAGGAATCTTTGCACTCGCAGGAGCAAGGCAGCAGAATTATGTTGTGGGGAAAGCTGTCTCTGGAGGAAGGCTGTGCGTTTGCTCGTCAAAAATCTGACCGTCCGAGCTCGACGAGATGCGAGTCTTGGGGCGGGAAATACATAGGGGATGATCTGACGTATGGCGCATTGTCGATGGGCCGAACAGGGAGCGGGTTTATGCAGTGACGCGGAGAGTGTTATGCAAGCTACCAGTGGTTGGTCTCTGGTCTCTGGCGCTAGCAGAGGTTTCCAAGGCAAGGCTGGGGCCCCAAACGATGGTGGTCGGGATATGCTGCATGTCAGTGGTTCTCTTAGAGTCTTGGTTGCTCAGTGCTGTAGGGGCTTATGCATGTCAAGTTCAGGTGCTCTTGTGTAGGTAATCCATCGTCCCATCAGTTGCACGCGTGAGATGGATGGGACGGTGTGGTTTGTGTCTGCATGGTAGTTGCATTCTCGCGAAGCCGGTTGCGGCCAAGTCAGGTACGGATGCATGAGGTGTGGGATGAGGGTTTTAGGTTCGGTTGGCTGGAAGGATCATCGAGATATCCGCTGCCCGAAGCCAAAGTCGACCACGATGCGATGCAGATGCAGATGCAGAGCTGCAGCACCGGCCGTACTCGAACGAGCTTGATCTGTTGCAACAATCGAGCACTCGCCATTTGCCAATCCCTTCCGTTTGTGTCGGGCTCACCTAGACCACGGTGCAGCGGGGATTGGCCATGATCGCGGAAGTAGGTCTCGACTGTTGATGTCAAATAAGAGAACAAAGAGGGTGAGACATGGAGTATCGGTATCGACCGGATGACAGGAACAAGAAGCCGCAATGGGAATAGCTGAGGTCCAATACTGGTAGCGCGATGCGGTTCAAGACCCGACGACTGTTGCAATCGCGCTTCGTAGCGGCTACCTCGTTGGACCAAAGGACCGAGTCTTTACCCCAGAGTGCCGGCCTCGAGGTGGGGGTGGAAACTTGGAAGAGAACAAAGGGACGGGCGAGGCGGCCTTGTCAGTCGTTGCTCACTGGAATGCTGAATGTCGCTTGTCTTCCATCGGGCCCATGGTGTTTTCTCCCAAGGAGGGAAAAAACCTGCCATTTGGCGCGGTCGTGGCTGTGGCTGGATTAGCACGTCACTATCCGTAGACGCTACGCTGAGACCAAGGGTCCCAGCGTGCCGAACACGGCGTGCTACAAACCCGCGGAGCAGACTTCAAGGGTCCCTGACCGTCGACACTGCTGTGATGTTGGTCACGATCCACGTCAAGATCGAGGTTGGTGGCTTCGTGGCCAAGGTGGTTGAGGTGAGACCGTGAGAAGATCGTGGGCAGTCTGGGCGAGCGGACAGACGGGCGGCTTCCACCACGGGAGGTCAGTTAGACTGAACCTTGAGCTTGTGGAGATGACAAGATGTACTTTGGAGGTACCTCGGGGAGTTCCATCACGATATGAAGGGTCGTGGTTGTTGATAAGCGTATCCGTACAGTTTCTTTGCAGGGAGTCTTGGAGTCGGATAGGCAAATGAACGGGTCGATAGGCTGTTTGGTTGCCTCTTGACTCTTGACTCCCGTCTTGAGAATCCATAGGTTGAGGGTTGGGACTGACCGCCTGCGGTGAAGAGTTGCCGCCTTTTCCATGCAGAAGGCTCGAACCCACACAATCGGATAGTCGCATCAGATATTGTCTTGTTGGAGAATGGAGAAGCTGAGGAGAAGAGATCCATCTGGCAAAGTGACAGGTCACAGAAGGCGTACCCGAAATGCGACGAGGTAGGTACGGAGTACCGGGGACGGGTACTTGCCTGGTTGGTGAGTCCACCGTTGCTCCTCTCACCTCACCTCTCACCTCCAAGTACCTTTGGATGTACCTCCCTTCACCACTTCACCTTACCTCGCCTCACCTTGGGCAGCGCAGGTACGCTGGTAGGTATTGTATTCAAGATGCTTAGCTAAGGCAGCCTCGGTTTATCCTTGCCCTCACCCCAGTGAGACACAGAGACTGAGCACCTCAGTGAGGGGCCCGAGCAGTAGTGTATGTACCCAGCAGCTCAGCCCAGCTTCCAGCGGGTCCTTCGGGCCTGCAATCCCCACTACAACCCACTGGACGAACACCCTTTGACACCCAAATTAGCACTCGCTGAGGGCTGTCGTCACGGTGAGCCAGACAAGCCAGACAAGCCAGACAAGCCAGACAAGCCAGACAAGCCAGAACAACGTGGCCAGGTTATCCCTGGTTGCCATCCATGAGACCCAGGAACCTGCCCCCTTCTCGAAAAACAACACACTCGCAACATAAACGCGCAACGCACACGACACCACCACCACCAATGTCCAAAGGGCAACTCGTGCGAGAGATTACCCTTGGAGTCTCCTTGGGAAGCCTACCTTAGGTATTCCGTAACTCCGTAGAGGAGTACAGCAAGGTTTGCTTGGCCTTTTCGTATCCATGTGGTCCATCGGAAAATACCACCAGTCAGGATGCAATGGTCGAACAATGGCACCATCTGATCGACCATCCGTGTGACGAAAAGCCCGCCGTTCCTGGATGTGCCATGGTGATGGTCAAACAGAACTGGGCCGCTTGTTTGAGCCCCAGAGGCCCTTGAGCAAGCCTGTCTTGCCTGTCTTGCCCTTTTTCTTTTCCCCGATTCGATCCCTTTCTCGGATAGGCAATGAGGCACGGGGGAGTACTTTTGTCACTTTTTGTAGACACGCGAGACACGGAAACTGGAGAGCTGCCACACCACCTCAGCAAGGCTTTGGCTTCTGATTGAATGTCGACAGCTGCAAGCTCCAGGAGGGGGATTCGGTGGATGATCTGAGACTCAGACGACGGAGGCAGGATGAACAAGGCCCTAGACGGGATGACAGCATTGGCACTGTCATCATCAGGATGGGTTGATGAGGGGATGCCAACTGCCGTCCACCCATCCAACGTCATCCTGTACTAGCATTCTGAAAGAGAGGCAGGATAGCTGGATGTGTTATGATTTGAGGTCAGGGAATAAGCCAGCAAGCACCATCATCAACAACACTGGCTGCGGCGGCATGCGGCGGCGGGCCTGCCTTTTTTTTTTTTTTTTTTTTTTTTTTTCTTTTTTTTTTTTTTTTGTGCTGCCCAGGGTGCTCACTGCACAGGACTGACGCGAGCGTTTCGTCTACAATGGGCAAAAGGGAAACAAAATTGCCAGCCATCGACGCAAGATTCCCGAAGCCAGGATGCCTGTCTTGTTCGTTGCGTCAGCCACCGTCACTAATTATCTTCTGGATGGACAACACAAGGCGACCGGAGTGGTTGGGATGCAATTTGAGCACGAGTAACTGAGACGATTCTTATTTTTGAATTTTGAATTATGCGTCTACGGATACTGCGTATGGATCAGGTATGTCTGGGTATCACCGCTGCTGGGTAAGGCAACCTGTGTCTGTGTAAGCATGGGAATTGTTTGGGCCCTGTTCATCTGACTCTTATGAATAAACATCAACAACAATCCATGCCAAGTGGGAATTGAATGATGAGGTGAAGTCTTTCTGCCCAAGACTCGCATGTTTGGTTTGCCATGACCGAACGATACTAGTCGATAAACCATGCATCCAGATGCAAGAAAATGGGCACCTATTTAGACCCATCCATCAGGTATAGAATACCCATACATGTGTGATGAGTGGCCATTTTTTGCCGCATTTTGTCACTTTGTTTTGTGCCCGTATTCCCAATTTCTCGCTTCTCTTCTTCTTTTCCCGACTCCATTCAGTGATCCTCGCCCACATTGCTGCTGCCCCCCCCCCCTGGCCGGGCCTGCCCTCGTTCTTGCAGATACGCTAAAGAGCCGAGAGGGAAAAGAGGACCATTGCCGGGGTTTCCTTCTCGTTTTCCCTTGCCAAGTTGCCGTTACACCCCTGTCTTGGTGCCCTCTTCTCGGCCCTCGTCCACGTCGTCTTCGGTTCTCACCTACGGGTTATCCGCACCGCCTATTTCGTCCACCACTTCCTACTACATTACCTAGCTACTTGCCATCATACGGGAAGCAATGCTCCCGGCATCAATACTTGGGGGGGTGTGAGAACTACGCAAGAGAAACAAAAGACAACGAGAGAAGATAGACCAGAGAGAAAACGCCGAACCAGATGATCCCGCTCAGACAGCACGCTAAAAGTGAAGGAGTGAAAGAAAACCAAAGTTGCCAAAGAAAAGGTACACGCGAGGTACTTCCGAAGGGTACAGGGGGGAGGGCACTGGGGCCTCTGGACACAGAGCGCAGCATTGCATCAACACGGACCATTCTGCACTACTGGCGCAGGACGGAGTACCTACGCCTCCACCCCAACCTGCCTGTAATGGCATGAGCGATGTGCGATGAGAGGT